AGGGGCCCCGGCCCCGCCCCCTAATTGGAGAGGTTTTTTTTTCCCCCCCCCCCCCCCCTCCCGTTTTTTTTTTTTTCATGTAAACCATAACATTGCTAATATAATGTTTGGTCCTTATTTTATTCTTTCACATAAATAATACAGCTGTAAAACATGATAGAATATATGCATTATTTTATGCTGTAAAAATGAAATAACTGATATATGAATAGTTAATCCTGTGTAAGTATCTTGTATTTACCTGCATAATTGATTCATACATAACTAATAGCTGCTTAACTCTAACCATCAACCATATGACTTAGTATTTTGATTCAATAACTTAATTATTTAACTGTGCTTGGTATTAATTTGTGTCACTGTAGGAAGTACATGCATTGTTAATTTTTATAATCTTTAATCACTCATAGTCAGACGTACGTCAGGATAAAAAAAAAGGGACAAAATGACCATCAAAATCAAGTTTGGAGATGGACAAAAATAAGACAAAAGGAATAACATTTTTACCCAATTTAAGAAATACGCTACAAGTATATTATTTTTTTCACTTCGAGTGGGTGAACAATTCTCTGATCTTCGACGAGTTGAAAACGAAAGTAATAAAGCAATAATTAATTAAGTTCAATGTAGGGATTAATTTGAAGTGTACTATCAATTTGATCGATCTGTACTTCTATTTGCAAATATTAAAGACTTTTATATATGACTAATTGACTATACATTTATTTAATTAACGTAATTTTTATTTCTCAAATAGGTATGTCATCCATGACATTTGCGATGCCGCGTCGAGTCTAATTTTTATGAAGAGTTCATTTCTCAAATAATTAGTCAATACAATTATTTTTATAAAAGTCATTAAAGATATAATTTGTGCTACTTTAAAATCATTCAACTTATCAATTATTCTGTAAAAATCACTAAATTATTTTTTATCACATTAGAATTGTTCAAGTTCTGAATTGTTCTAAAAGTTGCTAAAATATTTTTTATCGTTTTAAATTCATTAAACTTATTATGATTGGTTACTCAAAGATGATTAAAAATCATACTCCCTCCATTAATTTTTATTTGTCTATTATTTTAGATTGTTCACTTTCCTTAAAAAAAATAAAAATTAATATGAATATTTTATCATACTATTCATATTAATTGTATTGTCATAGGTCTATAAAAATAATTTGATTAATAATTAATTAATATTGAGAAAAAAATAAAAAAATAATATTTTCTTGTTGTTATAAGTGACAAGTAAAAACGGAAATCTATGAATTAGTATGTATTTGAGCTGAGGATATTTTAAAAACAATAATTCTATTTCCACAAGGTAATAATAAGATTTATATACACTTTACCCTTCCCCATTCACATCCAGACTGCGTATTTTGTTGTTGCAGTAAACTCTACATATAAAGAGGAACTTTCGCATATAGTCACTCAAAAATAGCTTAATTACGCTCTATAGATATAGTTTGTTAATTACGATTCGTAGCTACATGTTATAGGGAGGAGAGGGGCGAGCAAGACTGGGAGAGGGAGGAGAGATGCGAGCGAGAGAGGGCAGAGAGTGGGAGAGAGGTGAATTGTATATGTATATCGGTTAGATAATTGTATATTAATACATATGTATTTGTATATTCTGGCGAGAGAGATTGTGAGAGGGAGGAGAGAGGCGAACGAGATTGGGAGAAGACAATAATTTGTATAATTCGCATCTCGTTTGTATAATTCACGTGTTTTTGTATAATTAAGTAATATATAGTCTGGAATTATACAAATATAATAAAACTCGAAATAACGAATTGATACAAACATAAACATATGAACTTTAAACAATTATACAAATTACATTATATAAATTATATTATACAAAATCTGAAAACTACACGTTTATACAAACTTTAAAAAGTTATACACAAAAAGATTGAATGTATATGATGACAAACCTGGAAAACCAAGGAATCATCGTCATATACAAATACAAACCATCGTATACAAATACAAATCAAACAAGAATTGTTAGCTGCGAAATTATACAAATATGGTAATTATATCAAACTATAGCTATGATGAGTAATTAAGTTTGATTAACCGCATAATTTTCGCACATATAAATTAGTGCGGTGTCGTCAACGGCAGGAAGTCAAAGTCCAAATAAGCCCAAAACTGAGGCCTTATTTAGGACTGCAGTAGGCCCCATATCTGGGCCTGTTTCCTAATGTCTTCGCTTTGGGTGGAAGAGAGGAGAAAAAAAACAGCATGGTTCTTGCGTTTACACTCGCACGCTTTCCTCACGTGACTTCAAAGTATTAGTTTGCCCTCTTTATTTATTTTATAAATAAATCCCACCCGATTTTGTTTTCTACCACATTCCTCTATTTCTGCACCTCTCCTTCTTGCCTAAAATCAAACAAAATATATTTTGCTTATACTTTTCTTCTTAATTCCATCATGTCTGGCTTTGGAAAATTGGTTGTAATTATGGCTGTGGTGGCTATGTTAGCCATTAGCTTAGATAAAGCTTCTGCTGGAGATCCAGACATGCTTCAAGATGTTTGTGTTGCTGATCTTACCAACAGTAAGTTCCAATTTTTTTATTTTTAATTGAGTAAGAGAAAGGTAGATTCTTCATCTGATGTGATTTAAGTTGTTTTGTGGTTTTATTTGCCTTAATTAATTTCTCATTGGTAATACATGTTGACTTTTCTACTTCTCCAAATTGTTGCTTACTAGCTTGTTGTAGGATTTGTTACGAGTGTTGGAGCAAGATCCAACTGTATATTAGCTGGCAAAAAGTAGATGGCTGACCGTATTAAATTTATTCAAAATATAATATAGCAGTCTTGAATCAAAAGTACAACTACCTAGGGACGAAATGATGTCCTATTATTAATTATGAATTAAATAGTAGAAAATGATAGTATTATTTTCAGATTAATGTGTGAAAAAATAAAAATGTCTTGTAGAAGCAATAATAACAACATATCCGGTATGATTTTACAATAATTCTCTTCAATTTTGAACAATTCACTTATTTTGAATCATATAGAATAACTTAATAATTCACTAGAGGAAGTAATAAGAGCAATGAAATTAAAAAATATGAAGGACCTCTCTATTTGGGGCTAAAAGTGACCTAGCATTATTCATCTTCGTCTAAGTTCGGAAAAAGAGGTAGCCTTTTTCAGGGGGTCCAATGTCTAGTGGGACTATTTGAAAAAAAAAATAGAGTCACACATGGCCAAATTAATAACATAATGATCTAATCATTATCTTTTCGATTTAAGTACCATATGCTGATTATGCAATTTTCTGTTTTATGTACATGAAAACAGGTTTAACAGTAAACGGTTATCTTTGCAAGAAGAACTTTTCAGAAATAGACTTTTCATCAATGGCCATAGCAAAGGCAGGAGCAACCAACAATACATTTGGTTCTTTAGTCACAGGTGCAAATGTCATGAAAGTCCCTGGTCTTAACACACTTGGTGTGTCCATGGCTCGTATCGACTATGCCCCTGGTGGAATTAACCCACCTCACACTCACCCTCGTGCTACTGAAATGATCTTTGTTT